AATTGTCAAGAATCTCATTTCAGATTAAATATTAATTTCAAGTACCCAGAATCGAATTAGTTATAAATCATAATTATAAATCAAAAAAGTTGACTATGGAAGTACGTTGATTCAAACGACAAATCGTATAAGCTAATATTATTAATACTTGCAGGGGTAAATCTACAATAAGACGTAATAAATATTGTAAGCTAAGTATTTTGTCGGAACACTCGGAAGATGTACATTTTAAATACATTGCGCCCGCGCCTTTTTTTTTTTTAACGTTACAACGTCCCATCGACGATGAAATCTATATCGTCAAAACTTATTCTTATATTCTCTCTCGTACGCCGATATCACTCTGGTCGCATGCTTTCGCTTATTGGTTAGTGAAACCCGGGTAGATTGGAAACTTTTTCCTGCTCGCGTATAGACACTCTCCTTCGTTGATTGGTAGGCATTAACAGAGTTAAAGAAAGAGAGGCGGTTAAACTCGTGAACTTTAAATCACACTCAAGTAAAATAGTAAATGCTAAGGTAGTCCTAACACCGCATAGTCAAGAATAGTAAAATAATTAAAATTCTTTATAGAATAAATGTCATTATATTATGTTAACGTTAATTCAATGCTTTCTAATGCAGTATTTTTACATACATTTTTCAATACATGTTTAATAAATGATATAATTAAAATAATATGTCTGTATCACTTCATATGCTTAGCTTAAAAATTCGCCATAAACTGTTACGATTATATATAATTATGAATTTTTCCATGTTAACATATAATTAAATTTAAGGAATAACACCACTTAAAATATATATATATAAAAAAAAAAACAGTCTTATTTATATTATTATTTTACCATTTTATTCGAATGTAGCACAATATTGATTCTAGGGGGCGGCAGTAGGGAGCGGGACAAGGTGAGGGTGAGGAAGAGGAAGAGTGAGAATATGTGGAAGGGGGGGGGGATTACTTTTTTTTTACCAAGATTACCAAGTTTACCAAGTACTAAGATAGTAGCAGTGCTCCTACACTATGTGCTCGATAATTATTAAAACATTAATGCACTTTTCTGAAAATTCCTTGTTCTGAAGTAACCGAAAACAAACACAGACACACAGTAAAGACACAAATTTAACAGGAATAAAGAATACTTATTTTTATTTCAATTATTTCATTTTCGATTTTTTTTTTTCAAACTTTTATGGCTATTAATATAAATAAAGTCTATTTTTTTGTGTTAATTAAAAATTGATTTAGAAAAAAAAAAAAACCCCTCTAGACCCCATTTCAGATGATCGCCATTATTCAGATGTAACTCCGTTATTAATGCTAATCGTTGTTAAAAAAAAAAAAAAAAGTTTGCATAGACAAGATATATAGAAAAAAAAGTATTTAATTTTTCTACATTCCTCCGTGACTCTCCCGCTTTTAAATTTAATTTTTCAGGCACTAAACATGCACTTTTTCAGGCAATTTTCTAGGTGTTACCCCTTAAATTAATAGAAATTCAATAATATATCGATTGTCAACAATATCAATTATAAGAGCTTAATTATAATTCTAAAAAAATAAGACATGGAACGATTTATATAGATTATAAGATACTGGTGTATTATCAATATTTAATGTAAATAATACCGATATTGAAGTGATCGGTAAAAATCTTTTGAACAATAATATCTGTGAGCAACACGTAAAAATATTGTATAGTGCACCATGCATAAAAAAACTAAGTAGCATATGTATACGTATATGTGTGTATATATATATATATATATATATATATATATATATATATATACACGATATAAAAAAAAAATAAGACAATTAATGACGACGATTATAAGCTTGTATATACAATTTACTGTACCAGAAATGGTAGTCGTAATACTGACCTATTTCATTTGTAGTCCTACATAATATTTCGTTTCATAAATGTACTTGTGTTCGGACTACCTTCAATGTTAAAATAAAAGAAAAAATAAATGAATTTGAAAATATTTATTATCGGTTGTTAAAAAAATGTGTAGTTATTTAGAATATACGAATTGTATAAAATTTTAAGTATATGTTCATCATATCATTTAATTGCAATCCTATATCAATTGTTACATTTAATAATAACTGTTATTATCTTAATAAAAATTAATTATCTAAATTATGTCCAACACATTAAAATTTTCTTCGTTTATTACAAAAAAAATCTCATTTTAAAACATTTTTTAAACAACTTGCACAACGCAAAAAGAGGAAAATCAAGAAGAAAGAAGTAATACATATGTAATTATAGCCATGCATTTGTCAATCAGCGAAGCGCAGATCGCATTATGCAGGTGCAACTAATATTTTAATAAACGAAGGAGAAATTCATAATCAATGTGCATTACACGTCAATTAACACATTACAAAGCCCTGTTAGTACGTTTGACTGATATATGTCGTATATTTATAATCATTATGTATAATAAAATAAAAACATCGATGTTAAGATTTTTAATAAGCTAATAATAATATATAATTATTACGAGAGATTAGCTTTGGTATGTTTTTTTTGTTTTTTTTTTTAAAATAAATTATATTAATAATAATACTAGTTTTAAATGTATATTAATATTTTTATACGTAAGGAAAGAAATCAGTTCTCATAAATCTTATAAATTCTATAGAGCTGCGTAGAAATTATGGTTATTTGAAAAAATTGATTCAGCAAATGAAATGTAAAATAAGCAAATTGGTACGAAGAGCGTATGTAGTTATAAAATTAACTTATCGAGGCGAAACCTCGGAAACTCTCTAAAAACCGTAAGCTGAACGGTAAAACTAAATTGTAAAGAATATTTACAATCTAAAATCCAAATGCAAATAATCAATTCAAGAAGTACTATCATTATCATTATCATTATCATTATTATTATTATTGTTGTTGTTGTTGTTGTCGTTGTTGTTGTTCTCGTTGTTGTTATTGTTATTAATAATATGAATATTATTATGTCACCATTAAAACGTTACATAACCGATTTAAAAAAAAGAAGACAAAAAAAAAGAAGAAAAAAAAAAATAATTTCATTACCTGAAGAAGTGAAAAATTAAAATCAAAATAAATAAGAAGCATGATAAATAAATCAATAGAAATAATAAAAAGACCTGATAACTGTATAAAAAGAATAAATTTTGAGAGAGGGGGAAACAAACCCAAGAAGAAAACAAAATAAAAATGTGAAAGGAAACGTAAGGAAAGTGAAAAAGAAGTATTAATGACAAGAAAATAGACACTAGTACACGTTAGCGTACACGCAAGCACGCATAGAAATTGTATTTCTCCAATACAACATCATTTATAGATAATAGATAGCAATTTACAGAGAAACAAGTAAAGCACAAAACAGTACATGTATAATCTGTCGCACTGAGAGTTACAGTCGGTCGAAAAAAAAAAAATCACTACTTTGAGCAGTGTTCTTAAATCAAACAAACATTTCTTAGTCTGTTTAAAAAATATCCTGTTATCTCAAATAGGCAAACTTAATTTAAAGAAAAATTGCTTAAACAATAAAAAAAAAAAAAAAAATTAATTATTTGAGTTAACAATTTTTTTAAACGTATCACACAAAGAAATACTCGTTGAATTTAAAAAAAGGTTTTTCTTAATTGTAGCTTAAATACAAATAACGAGAATCGCGCCGCGAGGAATAAAACAACCAAGTGTCGGACAAACGCGGATAGAAACAATAAATCATTTACTTGACTCTTCTCAGTATTTGTGTATCTTGTCGCATAATTCGCGTATAAACTATACAATTACGTTGCCATTAAATATTTTATACACTATATAAATCGACTGGAAAAAAAAAAAAATTGACAAAAAAGCATTTAACTACAATGTACAGCAAATAATGAAAAAAAAAATCTAATAATTTACATAATTCCCTAATTAAGCTGTTCATACAAAGATCTGTGAGTATAAATATTTTTTTTTTGTGCCTTATAAATTGTTTTATGCATCTTAATTTAAAAAAAAAAACAAAAAAAAAAAAAAAATTTATGAAAAAAAAAAATAATAAGAGTGAAAAACCCTCGCGACCTGGACTCGCAATTTTTCTCAGTGCCAGAGGTCGTGGAATTCCGACTTTGTCGTAGAGGCGGCTAACTTATCTGTGGTAGAAAAAGATTTTCAAAAAAAAAAAAGATTAGTTTTAATTGTTGATTGTTTTTGATGCGGACAAAAATTAACGCGCAAATGTTAACGGTTTTATTGTTTTAAAAAGACTCACTAGTCTTCCTGTGCGTTTTTTTAACGGGGTGCTTCGTCTGGTCTTTTAACCTGAGATCTCCGAATTCATCCTCGAGCATTGCTATGTTAAATTTCTTTTCTAGTAATGCTACCGTTTGGACAGTATTTGTATTTGTTTTGATTAGCAAGGCAAAGCAAGATAGAATTTTAGATTATGAATTATACAGGTAAGAAAATAGAAAATTTTTCGTCTTTTGCAATCTCTTTAAGAAAACTCTGAATTTGAGAACATCCAAAATAGCATTATTAACATTATTTTACTTTTTCCTTTATTTATTTGATTAGCGCTAGTTTGATTGTCAAATGATTGTTTTAATATACAGTTACGTAAAAGCTTACTTTAAATACTTATTTATTTAATTAAATCGATAAATCTTGATTATTCTCAAACTACGATTTTTCTACTATTATAAGTTTAATGAAACGATTTACATTAAGGAAATATAGCACATGAAAAAACTACTGAGAAGCTCTTAAATTGTAAAATAATAAAAACACAAAGATCATCATTAAATTGATAAATTAAAGAGAAAATAAGTTTCGTCAGAGGCTCTCGTGCTTATTCATTAGCTTGGAAAATACAAAGCAAAATATGCAATGTAAATAAAAAAATTTTCATTCAAAGTAAAGTTTGCTAGCCAAAACCTCAACTAAAGTATAAGTGCAAACATTAAATAATTAGTACTATTGAGAGAATAAAAGCTTAAAAGTTCTTACCACGACTCTGGTTATAACCAGCTTGCCATCCAGCATAGTAAGCTGCCTTTTGTTTACCATGTTCTTCGGCTATTTTAACACTAAGAGGCTCAGAACCCCCTTCAGGTATCGTACCATGAAGTTGATTAATTGCATCTTGTGCCTCTTCTCGTTTGTCATACCTTAAAATTTATAATTATTATTATAAACGTAAACACACAAACTTGGTGGGAAATATTTTTTGGAGAATCAAGAGTTTGCATGCGATATGGAGCGTACTAATTAATTTTATTACAAACATCTCTTACGTTACTTTCATTAAATTATATTTCGAAAAATTTTATGCGAATTATGCATACTTTTTTAAAATAATTATAACTAGATAAAAATATCGCATAAGTATTATCTAAATGTCACATTTAGTTTGCACTTTAATAATCTCAATGGGATAATTTACTATGATATTATATACATATTGTAAAACAATTAAATAAAAACTTTAAGTAAAGTACTATTATTAATTTCGAAACTTTATGTATGTTTAGATTTTATAACAAGATTCACAATTATTACTTTATTATAGTAATTATAGGGCATTCGTATATGTTTACTCAAAATAAACTTTTATTTATAAAATAAGGCCAATAACACCTTTGAAAATGTTAAACGACAGAATATTTAGAGGCGAATTTTATATTTAAAATGGGTCACATTGAACGTCTCGTAAAAAGATAGAAATATATTCTGGCAAGTAGCAGCAAGCATGTAAATATAAGCGAAACAGTATCACATTATTGTTACGTAATATCTTCCACAACTCTATTACCCAACACCTGCTAAAGCTGGAACTTGAACATGTTCCAATTTATGCTATATGTTAAAGATAAATCAACATTTTTAAATTTCAGTGATCATTGGCAAATTTGCTTGCATCTCACCTACTCACTCACTCACAAACTCACTAACTCACCAACTCACTCACTTTTTTTCTCTTTCTATCTCACGCGCGCGCGTACACCTGTACTTTATCATTTCTATTATGGGAAATTTTGTTTAAACACTAATATAAATTGAAGAAATTAATTATTTACCTCACAAAGGCCACACCTCTTGGTAAACCAGTGAGCTTATCTTTTAAGATGTTTTTCTGGACAATGCGACCAAATTTACTGAAAATGTCTTCGACCTGTTTCTCCGTAATATTTCTAAGAAAACAAAATTACTTAGTAAATAAGCAAATATATTTTACACAAATATTTAACGAGAATATCATTTATATGTTAAATATTTATGTAAAACGATTTATTATAAGTATTATTTATATATTTATTCCAATGATAAATCCAAATAGATATATTGCAAGTAAAATTTAATAACAATAATTATATAAACTTATGAAGATGGTTTAAATTATAAAATTAACAATAAATGTTAACTATAAATGGGAATTCGCTTAGAAGAAATGAATACATTTTAATAAATATATATTTTAGAAAAAGGAACGTATAATAAGAATTCATTTAGTAGGCAAGACTACAGAAATCACGAATATATCAATTTAGATAGATGTATATAAGTCTCAAATTGTAATAATTGTTAAGTTTTTAACCAAAATAATAGTCTCCTTTTCTATAAGGATACAAATCATTATTTGCTTACCTAGGCAAATTCGTAACATAAAGATTTGTTTCCTTGATTTCTTCTCCAGATGGTCGAGCGAAGGAAACTTTTAATCTCTTGTTTTGAACTTGAAGTCCATTTAATGTATTGATAGCTGTAGATGCATCTTCAGCTTTAGCGTAGTTGACAAAGCCAAATCCATAACTATAACCAGTCTAAATGACATTAAATACATAAGTATTATTATAATGAAACTTTGAATAAGCATTTCATAACTTCACTTAAACAAAAACATTTACGCTTTATTTAGATTGCCATAATTTTTATAAAAATAAAAACCCTATTAAATTACTTTCAAATAGGCGAAAAGAATTATTTGAAACAAATATACTTGTAGAAAGTAGTTAAAAAAAAAAAAATCATCTTACACACTTTTACTTTACAAACGTTTGCAGATGATAAAATCTAGTCACAATCGAAACCTACCTTATAATCTTTCATAACTCGACATGATTCAACGGGGCCAATCGTCACAAACATACTATAAAGCTCCTTCTCAGTCATACTTTGTGGCAAATAATTGATAATCAAATTTGTACGATCATCGTTATTGCTTTTGTGACGTTGTTGTTGTTGGTCGTTCATTTTGCTATCTTCCTGAATATTTTTTTCTACGTTTAGTTGCAGATTTGATGTTGCTGTGACGTTCCTCGACTGATTCTCTGGCAGAGTCTGATGAATGTGCGAGCTTCCACTGTTTCCATTGACAATAACCATCCGTATGGTCGGCAAATACAAAAAATATAAACAAATGCATTACTACTTCTTTTACGGATACGACCATGATTATCCAGGCAGCTTTTCTTTCTAGTTTTATTTTATCAAACGAAATATTAAAAAAATAAAATAGAAAATAAACGTGATAATAAAATATGCGTTGTCAGACCTGTTTATAAGAAACAAACAAACAAAAGTGCATAAGGACCAAACTGGGCAAGTATGTTTGCATGTAATAATAAAAAAATCAATTGCTGGTACAATTATTTCAATGAAATCGACTCACGTTAAATTTCATTAAGAATTGACGATAAATTAAAAATCATTGTCCAATTGTAATTTAAGTGTGAATTTATTAATTTTGTATAAAATACGATAAGTACACCGAGTGCCTCAAGATTTTGTAAAAAAAATATTAGTGAAATTTACTCGTTAGAATAATAAAAATTTCATGTCATCAATAATCTCATGAGACGATATGAAAATTGTACCAACAATAAATTATATAATTCAATACAATAAAGTATTTATTTATTTATTTAAACTATTCTATGATTATAGTCGAAGCTTCAATGATGATTAATTACTCAATCGATCAACTACAATATGCAGACTGAATTTCATTCAGGCATGTAAAAGAAATTTTAAACGATCTCTCATTAAATTCGACTATAGACATACTTAAATAATCAGATATAAATTCAATTCGGTAGAAATGGGCAGAAACGATAATAAATTCTAAATGTGCCAAAAACATAAAGTACAAACATGCCGTGAAGCAAAAATTTTTTCGCTTTTAAAGCCTACGCATTGAAATTATTTATGAAAATCGCAAGAAAAAAGGGCGTGTTCGTAAGTAAAGGAAAAACCGATAACAACGAAAGGCTTTAATAGAGAAATAAAGAACAAAAAAGAACAAAAAAAAAACAGTAAAGGAAAAACCGATAACAACGAAAGGCTTTAATAGAGAAACAAAGAACAAAAAAGAACAAAAAAAAAACAAAAAAAAAAAAACAAAAACAAAATAAATAAATAAAAATGATACCTGCGAACGCAACGAGGTTATGTACGAGTAACGAAAGGAAATAAAACCATAGAAATTCGCTATCGAGGAATCAGCTAAGTACGAAGTCGTAACAAAAAACTGGAAAAGTCCAGTGAGCGTGAATGAAAGGAAAATCCAACTTGAGAAACACGTTTGTAAATAAAAACAAGCGCCTGTATATGCGAACTGGAAGGTCGGGACAGGCAGCCAAGAAACTGAACTGGAGGACGCAAAAAGTCCACCGATTCACACGCGCTCACTCGCTACGACGAAATCAAGCGGAATAACGTGGATGTACGGAAATGGATCGGCAGGCAGTGTGGATACGGAAAGTCGAAACACAATACACACGGTCGCGCGCCTGTGTGCGCTCGTCTACGCTCGCGGGACGCGAATACGCGTGCGCGCAGCTCTGGGAAAGCGGATTGAATGTGGGACTCACCGCAGCAGATTTCCACGCAACAAGGAATGCTAATTATTCATGGAGGGTAGCGGGATGCCGAAGCGACGAGCGTTTCGCTAAGAAAGTCGATTGACGAGAGGCCGCCGCCACCGCCGGGCTACTCCAACGCGGAAACTTGGGAGCGAAGCACACGAACGGGACGCAAGGACCGGAGTTGGTTTAATGGCGCGCGCGCACACTGAAAAGAGATGCTCGAGGGGAGAAAAAAAAAAAAGAAAAAGAAAAAAGAATAGCGTGTCTGGTTGCGGATAAGGTGGAAGGTGGTGGTAGGTAGGAGCCGAGGAGACAAAAAGATGATTCGAAGACGGACCCGACTTTTGAACTCTCGAGCGAGCGGTTCTCGCGACATAGATTCCGTTCGTTTGGCCCGTCCGTCGAGATGTTGAAAGCTTATCTCCTTATTAATACTATTATTATTATTATTATTATTATTATTATTATTATTGTTGTTGTTGTTGTTGTTGTCGTCGTTATTATTGTCGTTATTGCCGTTGTTATTATTATGCTTTAAGTGGCTGCAGGGGCCTGCATCGACAATCTGTGATGTAAACTGCGAAGGCATGCCGAGGATTGATTTGGAAAGAATTTCTTGAAGAAGATGAAATATTTTTATAAATCTATATATATATATATATATATATATTCTTTTGAGGGTACTAAGGACAAATTTTAATTACTCGCGGCTGAAAATTGAATTACGACACTTAAAAATATTGAAATTAAAAAATGTTTAAAAATTTACAATATACGTGAACCGTAACGAGATGTTCCCACACCGTTCAATTCTAAAGGATTTTTCACCTTTTTGGATCTTTTCACTGAATCTCGACATTGAAATTTTCAAATAAAAATTCAATTACCTCACCAAGAATATTGGCTAAACTAAATTTTATCCATTAACAATACATTATACACGTACTATTATAAGCAAAATTCATCTTAAGATGTTAAATAATGGACTAATCTATAAATGGTGCCTTCTAAATGAGCAAATACTGAAGTTGCTAGGCAAATTCCAAGACATTTTCAATTTTCAATCAGTCAATTTGAATATTTGTCGTTGAAATTTCTAAAAGCCTAATTTTCTTTACTATTTCAATGAAATGAAATATTAAATTTATATGAAAAATTAATGCGATGGCAACGAAAACGTAACGTCTTACAGCAAGCAAAGCTATTCAATTTGAGAATATCGTCGAGTCAATGAAATTTATCGATATAAATCGATATCGCAATTTTATTAATTAATAACGTTGTACGGTAATACGCGGCGATGATCCTCGATGGGAGCCACTCCGAGAGCAAAAATTAAACATAAATAAGGCGAGCCGAGGCTTAAAACCCATGGGTCTAACTTTGGAATTTTTAAGAATTTGTTAAAGTAGCTCGTATAATAAATACAATAAAATTTATCGACGAATCCTCCGCTTTGTGTTACGAAAATTGTAACATTGTTATTTCAAACAAAAGTAATCCGAATAAACGTCGCGTAAAATTGATTGATCGTCAATTTGTATGACTTTGATAGTCGTTAAAAAAAAAAAAAAAAAAAAAAAAAAATTTTTATTTTAAAATTTTTTTTTACATTTGCCACTAATGAAACGCAACTAACGCAACCTCACACATTTTACCATTACAATTGAATAATTTTAATTGCTCCGGTTCGACAAAATTCAGATTAGCTATTTGCAGTAGTAAGCAGTTAATTCGGCTTTCGAAGTTTCAATGAAATATTATCAAACCAATGATGAAATATATAAAATGAAATACCCTTACTTCCTTCATCTTTTAATTGAATTCATAGACGTTAAAACTATTAATTATCGGAGCATGTAAATAAATGCATTTATAGGATATATTAAACATCAGAGCGCTTCAATTTTAGTCAAAGAATAATAATATATCGAGTAACATTGGAATTTAATTTAAAAAAAAAAATATATATATATATATATATATAATGAATAAGTCATTAATTGCGTTATGATGATTCGAGAAGCCTAAAGACGTTATATGCTGCTTATGGATAGAATAAACGAGAATTTCAAAATTGTCATCGAGAGTTCGATTGTAAAGAATCGTCAACGAGTGACAAGACAACTCGTGACACCGCGCATTCGGTATATGCAAAACGATATCACGGGGAAATGAATGAGCAAAATGATAAAGTGTCAATAATGTGAAATCTCGGCCTCTCGGTCGGGGTCGGTCGACAGCTAACGAGAAGTCACAATCAAGCGAGACGTGAGCGTCGGAGCGTGAGCAAGAGGCAGAGCGAAGAAGGTGCACCAACCAACCGGAGGACAACGAGGTCTTACCCTCGACCAACACCACGACGACGGTCACGCGTCCCATGCTCCGTGATGGGAGACCGAACGCGCATAGCCGGAACATGCTTGTGTGCGTGCGTGCTTGCGTATTTGGACGAAAATAAGAGAGAGAGAGAGAGAGAGAGAGAGAGAGAGAACTGTATGTAAAGTTTTAGAAAGAGCGGCGTGTCTATCCGTCGCTCTTCTTTCCACGGTGCGCGCCGCCAGCATACGCACGCTCGGGCAGCAGACGCGCGCACGCGCGCGCGCGCGCGCGCGCGCGCACACACACACACACACATGCATGCATGCATACGCGCGCGCGCGCGCAACATGCACAAATGGGTGCTGGTTACGTAACACGACGCAGAAACCGCGTTTGTTACCGTGCCCGTATGCATGAATCACACGTGCGAATGCGAGAATACGTAGGCTTGCGTGGGCGATTAGACAGAGCGCGTGGCTTTTCTCTTTCTCAACCACTCGATCCCTTCTTTAGCCCCTTTTCTACTTTCGTTCGTCGCTCGCTCGCTCACGCACTCACTCACACAAGCGTTCGGCACGAAAACGCCCGTGTGCAAGAGCCGAGTGGGTAAGACGGGTGGATGCGTGAATGCGTGCGCGCGCGTGGATATGCGCACGCGTCATAAGGCAGTCTTTTTGTCGCTGACCGTATTTCTCTAGAGATCTGTCTACTTGCACTCTGTTACAGAAATAGCAAGCGAACAAGGAGGTTATGCTAGCCTAATCCATGCAACGTACATGGACGGCTATGTGACCGGTTCGTTGCCTTCGTCTTCTCGGTTCTCGGTTCTCGGTTCTCGGCTCTCGGCTCTCTCTCTCTCTCTCTCTCTCCCGATCGCTAACGACAGGAAATACATGTAGGGAGGAAAAAAAGGCGAGAGAGAAGGACGGAGCGACGAGAAAAAATGGAGTCGACGAACAACCGTAGCGGCGCCGCGATGACTACATTTTTCGCCTTAACTATCCTTCCTCGTCTATCGCACATTGCACTCTCCCACTTTCTCCCTCGCGCTCTCTCTCTCTCTCTCTCTCTCTCTCTCTCTCTCTATCGCACGCAACGCACACACGCAACGCACACACGCACGCACGCACGCACGCACCTAACACACGCTAACGCATACTATTTCTTTCTCTCTCTCTCTCTCTCTCTGTCTCTCGTGCGCGCACACGCATGAACGTACGCTAAATCACTAGCTCAATGCAAAAATTAAGCGGGCACGCGAAATATGACACACACGCACGCACAAACACACTTGTCACAAGTAACGATAAACGTAAACGCACATACGGAGAAATACGGCGTTATTTACAAGTCGTTTTAATAACAATAACAAAAAAATAAAAGAAATTTGTTCAGGACAGTATACGTTATCTACCTGGCAACGACGAGCGTCAATGACGGAATGCGTGGAGCCGTCGAGCGCCGCGCGGTTCTTGCTTTCTTTCTTTCCCCCGCCCCCCTCGCTTGTGCACCGTAATTCTCAATCTCTCTAGCTCTCTGGCTCGCTAGCTCACTCTCTCCCTCTCTCACGCCCTCTATCAGACTATCTCCATTTCGCTTCCCTCGGCGTTGTAAGAGTGACTAACCCCCACTACTGCACCACCTGGTGCGGGAAAACTGACCTGCCTTGAAACTGAATTACAGCGACGTGAGACGGGGAAACAGGAAACCACCACACATTTCGCGCTCTTCTGGTTTTGGTATGATTTTGATTTATTGATTTTATCCTTTCGGAATCGATTTCATCAACAGTATTTTTTATTAAAAATAAAACTTCTCCATTAAAATATTAAGTAACAATGATTATTACTAAGCAACTTATTTATTCATACCATGACTAATTAACACGGTAATTACGCTTGGCTTGTTCGAATATATATCCCCCTCCTCCTCCCCACACCCCTTTTTTTTATCAACTCTACGAATCTAAAACAGTGAATTTATAACAATTTTTATTTGAACTTCGCATACGAAGTCGCCAGTCAAACGAGCAGACATATTATAAAATACAGCTAAACGGAATTTTAACATATTTTTAAACAAAAAAACAAATCGTGGAATATGACGCAGAGAGCAAGACAATACTAAAATAAGAAGGTATATAATTGCTTAGAATTGTCTTATGTCTTCATTGCATAATCTTATAATAACAATAAAGCAGTTTATATGCGCCATACGTACATATAATGCATCGTGTATATTTGTGCAATTTTTTAATTTATTTTTGAAATTTTACCGCGATTACTTAATTTTAAATGGACTATAAGATATATAAAAGTTCAACGTTTTATAAATGTATGAGAAAGTAAAAACTTCCAGTGTTATAATAGTATTATAATAAATAAATAAATAAATGTTTCTATATGTGTAATGAAAAATCAATGGCTTCATAACAACCAATAAATTAATACAAATGATAATTTAATTACACAGATTTCTATATATCATTTTAGAAATTAAGCTGACATTAAGAGTCAATGATTTAAAAAAAGAAGAAAAAAAATAATATTCTTGTAAGTATAAGTTTTTTCAAATGATTAAAATAAAATAATATATTTTATAAGCAATTTAGAGAAATCTAGCTCATTATTAAAGTGTTAATGTACAATAAAAATAAAAAATTATGATTCTTACAAATCACATATAATTTTTAAAATCTTTTTCTCTTATTCTACATATAAGTGAACTTCCATCGATACCAAGCACAAATCAATAATTTAAATTATAATCATAAAGTAAGGAAGTAGAGTGGTAATATTTACTGAATAAAATTAATTTTTCTTTTAAACGCTTACTTTTGCTGTGTAATGGAAAAAAAAAAGTTTTTAAATTCATTTAACCAGAGATCTATAATATATATAATTAAATAGAGTATTTCTGTGTTTCTTAAACAATTCACGGAATAATTTAATATTGAAATAATATAAAATTCACAAAGACATTGAGCATCTACAGAATAAATAATATAAAATATTATATCGACTAATACTTCCATCATTGTTTCACCATACTGGCATAATTTTCTGTAATAGTGTAATAGGAATATACGAGCAATCGTGTTTATAATAATGAAATATTGCGGCAATATTGTCCAAGACGTTCAATATGCATAACACTTCTAAGTAAATCGATAAAATATTTAAATAAGGAATCAATAAAAAATCAAGTATGATAAAATTAAAAATTAAAAAGTTAAAAAGTTATAAATCTATAATGCCAAATACCTATTAAATATTTTATGAGTTTGTTCCCAATCATTAAAAATATTGACTGTATTAAAACACTTTAAATAAAGAATGAAAACAAACGCATATATCTCGATTAAGAAGTTCTATCATTTCATTAAGTTTTTAATATTCTGAAATACGCGTTTTGTAATAAAAAAAATTTTAATCAAACTCGATCGTTTTCAATAAACAGATCGATAGCTTATTGCGATGCATTATACTTTATTCGTAATATTTTTGTTCAGGCAGTACGTTATTAATATCAATAGAATTATTATTATTAATACGTTAATACGAAATTCATTGAAAATTGATATATTGTAAATTTATCATTATTTCCTACAATTATATGTAATTGTTTGGACACTTTAGTGAATTTTTTCGTCCACTCATCTACATCAAACATTTTGTGCAAACGAAATATTGTTATACGATAAAAACATTACAATATATATATATATATATATATATATTAATAAACGTCTTGAGAAAATAAAATTCATTTAATTATATTGGATTTTGGATTTTACAATATAGGTATAAAAATTTGTTGATAAATTTAATGGAAGAGTCTCGCTAGAAAATATTTATGAATAAATAAAATTTGCTTAGTTTTAAATTATAAATTATTATTATTTTTAAATTATTTTTGTTTTTGATTCTTTAATTATGAATGAAGTGTTGAAAAATGAAAAATCATAAAAGTTATTTTCCTATCTGAAACATTAATTCCTATAATGCATTTATCTGAAGTTCATAATCCAATACTAAAGATGATCGATATTTTGATAATTTTAGAAGACTATTTACGAGTAAAATACTCGTTTAAACGAAGAGCAGAATTGCCTAAACGAAAACTATGAAATGCAAATTGATTATACAGAAATACAATTGTTATAGGCGACACGTTGAGATTTATTTTAATTTAAACAATTAAATTATGCTCAATTTATTACGACATAAATAGCGATGACTTGTTGTTATGAATGGAAAGGGACATTTACTCAAAAGTATGGGAGAAATCTTAAAACAGTGCTCTGATGATTTGAAATATATTTACTTTAGTGTATTCTAAGAGTGCTGCTCAACCTTCTTTAAAGTCTCCTATATCCGTAGATTATTTTTTAAATTAAAAATCGTAAATTATTAGAGTCGGAATTTTAATTATTTAATCATTAAAATGAAGTCTGATGTAAGACACGTGTCGCGTAGAAGCGAGGAAAGCAACAAAGCGATACAATATAGTTTATGATTTTTAATTAAATATAATGTTTACTTTTCGCAATGTATTGCAACGCGTATTTTAATAGAATTTTTAACTAAGCCATTTTTATATCGCTGAAATTCGTCGAAAAATTCTTGCATCATCTTCAGCTACTGTATCGCAAAAATATATTATTGCACTATCAGGGCATTACGAAAATACTGAAACTTAAAAAAATAACTTATATATTTCAAGCTGAATTGGTAATACATTAATGAAAATAAATTTCATATACAATTTTTAGCTCACGTATGAGATTATTCATATATCACCTATTTTTATAAATATCATTTGAAAGCTTTTAAAAGATATTTAAAATAATTATATTTTTATGTATTCTTTTTTATTGTTATTATTATTATTATTATTATTTTTTTTTTTTTTATTCCTCACATTCACGTACGATTTATATTGATTTTCCAGCAACACTTATAAAATCATTTATAACTATAGTGTCGTGGCATCTAATACGAATCCAGTATTTTACGCAATTTTAATTGATCGATGAAAAATCTGAGAATTGACATTAGCTATAACATATCGCTTGAATGCGACCTTCAATGGACTTGAATGAATTAAGAAATTAATTGTAAATAATTGATTGATTTTGTCGATATTAACACGAAATGACCCATATTCTGGCTTATACTGTTTATCACGTAAATAATAAAACTTCAATGTTTAATGGAAATCAACGATAACCCTATTTTGACGTTAATATTGTTCACATCACATCGCGATGACAAAATGAAATTGTTATACATACCTAGATACGAAGTTCCAACCGGGTAGCATTTCGCATATAAGCTCACTTCGTTAACAAGATAATGAATAACATGAAAATCTATTTCTCCGAGTTTCGAAATGGGCCACCTCTCTTAATAATAGAGTAAAAAATTTCAAGAATTTCTTCGAGCAATGTGCTTTTATGCTATTCTTTCACTAATGAAAAATGATTAGTAAACAAACGACGATTATGTTAATATCATCTTTTGTTTCACTTTTTGCATCTCACTTGTGTGTTAAGGGCCACAAAAACCATTGCATTATAAATCATAAATATGCAAATATTTATTTCACCTTTATTACATTATTACTTTAATTCATAAGAAGTAAAATAAAATAATCCTTTGTAATTTATTATACTTTTTAATCAACTCGCCGTTTGCTTTTAAGATTAACCATAACGATAGGCTTAATCTTAAATTACTTTTCTTAAAAGATAATTTCGAAATATTTAAATAAATATGAAAACATAATTATTTTCATTTTTAACAAATTTATTTTCTCGTATACAATTTTATATGTAAATATCGTAAGTTTTATTCTTAAATAAATTTTTTTTTTTTTTTTTAATATTATTAATACACATAATATTATTCGTACTGATACATGTCGCTTGAAGAACAACGCTACATAGAAAAGTAAAAAAGTAGAAAAGGTAAGCTTGAAAAAAAGAAAAAAAAAATTAAAAAAGCATATTGTGCACTGGTATAAAAAACTAGAATTACATAATTACTAATCCCTTATAAAACATATATCTCTTTTTCTCTGCATAATGATCGCTTTGTTAAATGAATTGGTATATACAACTTATACCGCTTTCAATTTACATTAATGTACTTTTTACTGGTAAGATTTTGATTGGCTCAAAACTTTTATCATTATGTAAAGAATGTAATATAGGAACGTTATTATTCCATACTTCATTCACTGGGTTTTTTTTTTGTTTTTTGTTTTTTCATGCGCCTAATGCAAAGATAATGAATCGAAGCACAATCAACAAATGAAAGAAATACATGGTGGAAAACGTACCACAAAAATATATAATTAGTATAAATCTTACAAATATTGAGTAACAGTCTTATAATTTCCTAAAGTATGACTGCAAATCCAGTGTAAGAAAAACAAAAAAAACAAAAAAACAAAAACAAAAACAAAAAAAAAAACAAAAAAAAAACCAAAAAAAAAAATGAAAGAAGATAAAATAATAATAATAAAAAAATAAACTAAAAGATAAATAAATAAAAATTTAGCTGTCTATATTATAACGATATTCGTTGCCTGAACGATGAATAATACTCAAGATTTGTTTCAACAAAACGAAATACTCACTCAAAAGTCTAGATAATACTTAATTCAATCATCCCTTATTGAACAAAATAATCTCAAATATTATGTTCACATATAATCTATCACTTGCAAAGATAAATTTTTTAATTTTTGCATTAAATTTTAAGAGTTGATGGGAGGATTATACCTGCTGATGTAATTAAGCAGCCGTAAATTTTCTGATTTAGGAAACACGTGTATCAAACTCGAATACTCGCTTATCTCAAGGAACAAAACCCATTAACTTTTGCAAATCTAAAAAGACGATGACGTCTGTTCTCGCAGATGTTTTTAGAAACAATACTCGAGGGGGTGCAGTTGACTTCTTTATCCCAGGCTCTTCTTGGTGATTCAATGCCAAATGGGCTGTATAGTTTTGTTGGTGTGCGTCCTAATAAATGGCGAGATCTTGATTGCGGTGTTTGCGTTGTACAAGCACTGCTAGTAGGTGATTGCTGCTCCTCGAGTCTTTGGCGTCTGCGGGTGGAACTCTTAAATTTCTAAAAATAAAATTCACACAATGATGGAAATGTCGTGAATATTTTAATATCGACGTTCGATAGGAATGGAAGCATATTTTCAGATTATTGAATTACTAATGATGTTGTATTTTAAATCGTAGGAGCAGCGAGTAACATTATTTAAATTGCTTGAATAATTTCTACTTCCAATTTCAAAGACAATTAAGCATTAAGAATTTCTTTTGATACGAATAATTATGGTCTGTCTCGATTTGACTATCCTAGTCTACGATCGACCAATCGCAATAATCAATTGTAAATTAAAAAATGACGATAGTTTTAATATTATTAATTTGTCCAATATAAACCATAAATATGCGAATATGGAAAATTACCACAATACGAATTATTACATTAACACAACAAACATTGTATAATATACAAACTTGGGAAATTGATCCAAAGGTTGTTCTAACGGATGAGATAGTTTTAGAGATTTTATCAGCTCCATTTCTCAAAGCTCTTTTAGAGTCTGTAGAAACTTGTCCAAAACTTAGATTATGCCAAGGCCTTTCGGCTATCTCTTTATCTCCAGATTTATTTTTAAATCCATCGGTACGTTCTTTATCAAATTTATCTTGCAGTCTACGTCTGAAATTCTTTTGACTTTTACCATCTTCTGCGCTACCCTTTACATTAAATGTATCTCGATGAAAAACAAAGGATACGCTTCTAGAATCTGGAGGCATTTTATCCGTTCAAGTACTTTTATTACAACCTAAAAAATAAAATATCTATATTTAATATTATTAAGTCTAAAAGTAATAAGTATTAATATTAGATTTAAAATTACTTATATTGTATAGACTCATAAAGTAACGTATATACAAATTTTTTACATCTTTTATATATTGTATAACTTTTCATATGTAATAATAAATAATCGATAGTACGGGTCGACTGTATTACAGGAAAAACGGTTAATTATTTTACAGTTTGAATGATACCAATGATCAACTCCATAATCTTCTAAATTTCATAATTTAAGAATTTTTTTGTTAATTATTGTTAGAAATTATTCATGTTACAGATCGTTGTTCAAACAGCACCAGCACCAACAACAACAATAATAATAAAAATAATAAAAACTAATGATATAATTAATTGATAAAAAGCTGACAGACATTAGTATCGCCTAAAGACTTTGGGTTGGTTCTATAGTTAAATTTGCAATTTTCAATCATACAAAATGACAATTTATGCCATGAACCGCACTAAGTCTACAGTTCGTTCCCAAACAACTTTTAACGTCACCTTACATTATTTCGTTCTTTATTTCTTTTTTATCGAGCCAAAAACACGTGCACCGAAGAGCTAAGGTAAAGAGCATGCAAGTTGCGATCCATCTCTGGACATCTCACAATAATCCTTCGTGTATAATCAATCGGCAGATTGTATTTAAATTCCATATTTACAAACACACGCGTCGTCGGTCGAATCGACGATCACAATACGAACGTACGGGACAGTAAATAAACGCGGCAGCGGCAGCAGCGGCAGCAGCAGCACACGTACCGCGAAATAAGAACAGAGTCGGTCACATGCACCCTTGGCCGTCACCGCGTAACCTCATTTGCGATATTTTACGATCGAGCGGACGGAGAACGTCGGAATAAAGTGCGTCAGGCGAATCCAGGTCTTCTGCTTTATAGCAGCGTATTCGTGTCCGAATTCCGTTAGGGCGCAGGTATCGACTCGTTTAACGCACTTTTGCCGTAATTAGGCTCTCGCCCAGCCTCTCTCACCTTTATTACGCCCCCTTTATTAAGCACGACGATGCTTTAGTCTAATTCGTTCTCAGGAGGCAAGAGCACTGGATAACATTTGACCCGTAAATGAAAGGCCAGGAAACGGTGCAGCGTCCGAGCCAGCGAACGCGCTTTCGCGTCTTAATGCCGAACTGCTGATGAAAGCAACGGCTACGCGATCAGCCCTCAGCGGTGTATGAGCCGTTTGCACCTGCCTTTCTCTCTCTCTCTCTCTCTCTCTCTCTCTCTGTGTGTCTCTCTCTCTCTCTCTTTTCACAAATCTCGACGAATGGCAAGAGACGCCGACGACGAATAGTAAAGAATCTGGCTGCGTATTCCACGAGTGGTCCTAACACCGCTCTTGAATCCTCCCTCCCTCGCGCTCTCTCTCTCTCTCTCTCTCTCTTTTTCCCCCTGTTATACCATCCATCAGCTCTCCTCTCGCCGGTGTCGCTCGCTCACGCGCACTTGAAAAATTTGAAACGTCCAACGGACATTTCCGCCGCCGCCGCCGCCCCCCCCCTCCGTCGCTCTTTAGGCATCGAGCTGTTTGTCGCTCTCCTTTTTATTTTTACGCTTTCTGGCGCGAGCTCTTTCTCCCATCTTCTCAAGCTTTTTTTACGACAAGAGAGTGAGATAGAGCGAGAGAGAGGGAGGATACACATGATCGATGGCTTGTCAGGGACGTGACTTATTTGCCTCTTTTCTTTTAAGATGCCGATTTCTCAGGGATACGAAATAGATTGGGGCCGGGAGAGCAAAGGGAAAAGGGAAAAGCGTATAGCCACGCGCCTCCGGCTTTTCTTCCGGTTTGCAACCGAAATCGTTAGCGACTCTCCATCGTGCGTTGGGATGCTGCGACGTTGACAGCCGTTGATCGTGATCTCTTTGCTTGGTCGACTGTCTGCCAGTGACGTCAGCAGATGACAATGACAATAGTGCCGGAGTGGTAATCACTAAACTTTTTCAACTCTTGCGTCTGTCCAGTCGATATGGCAGGTTTCCTGTTGCGAGAGAGCCCTGTTACCAGGGAATATGACGCATTGTTCAAAACGATTTGTTGCAAAGTGTTCGTGTTTGCCATTATCGTGGCGTAGATATCCCGCATCTCTATAAAATCATTAAATTCGTCTTATAAATATTTTAAGGAAGCGTAAGCCAATGTTTACCGAATCACCGCCAAATTTAACGATATTGTTGTTTAAATATGCCATTATCCACACTCCCAACGAAACAAGCATGACGATTCTTTTTATCGAAATTATAATCCCAGTAAATGGAAATAACGGACTTAACGTGCACTGAAGATAATCATGCACATCCGAGAATTGCAATTTAATTTTATTGTTCCGAATGTTATATAATTACTTTGAATGTTTTGTTTGCCTACTTTTCACGTAGGGAGGGAGAGCTGTTCGTTGTTTATATTAGTTTAAAATGGAAAATTTAATTAGCATTTAATTAGGGTTAATTTAAGTAGTGAAAATTTATGAGTAGTTGTTAAATAATATTGTATGTAATTTTAATATTTATTTAGGCAAAACAAAGAAAAGGCTTAGTATGATTTCGCCTCTTCGCTTTAAAAAACTATATATATATATATATATATATATTATCAATACCATTAGATAAATACAGGATTGATAACAAATATCCAAAATTTTAGACATATTTTTATTTTTTTTTATTTATTTATTTATTTATTTTTTTTTTTCTTTTTTTTTTCTTTTTTTACACCAAATATCAATTATATCGGATTTGAATCGGTTTCCCCTTAATAGCAATATGGCAACCTCGCAATGTCTATAGGTGCATAGCATCGTGCTCTCATTCATAACCTCCTGCGTTTCGAAATGTTTTTGAGTTGACAAATTAAAAACAAAGTGTTTATTCATGAAAAAGGATGTTCTTAAAACTAAAAGAAGAATTGCGATGAATATATATAAATTACTAAACAGTCAAAAATTAATTGGAACATTTTTAGACCGAACGAGTCGCAAAAAACTTACTTTTATCTAAAAACTGGCAATGTTTTTTATTTGAATATAAGCAGGTATATTATTAATAATTAATAGTCGTATTCGTTGAACGATGTAAAGTCGGCTATTTAAGTGTTATGTGTGATATTATGCATAATTTTTAATCGAACCCCTTATATAGCTATTTAAATTTATATTCTGTCTAATTTGTTTTCAGTAAAGTAGTAATATTAAAATGAGTTATAACAAAAAAGTTTCGTACTTTTATAATCCTGATGTAGGAAATTTTCATTATGGCCCCGGACATCCAATGAAACCACATAGACTTTCGGTCATTCACAGTTTAGTCCTAAACTATGGATTGCATAAAAAAATGCAAATTTACAGACCTTATAGAGCTAGTACGCATGATATGTGTCGCTTTCATTCTGATGAATACGTGGAATTTTTACAAAGGGTTACGCCCCAAAATTTACAAGGATATACAAAATATCTGTCTCATTTTAATGTTGGTGACGATTGTCCAGTTTTTGAAGGTTTATTTGACTTTTGCTCCATGTACACTGGGGCATCCTTGGAAGGTATATTATATTTGAGTGCTGAAATATACCATTAACTTATTATATACCTTTAATTAGTATGTATATGTTATGAAATCATACAAACTTAATAAGCTAATGAAATTATATATACTCTATTAAGTGAAGTAATTCTCTATAGTAAGAAAACTCTATAATAAGCTTGAGTAATTACTAGGAAATTAAGTTGTTACACAATTTTATATTGCTGCATGTTTGAGAAGATTGCTTAATTGAAAACTACAGCAATGTAAAATAAATGAATAAATACAATATTTAATACAAATTTTTATAGAATAAACATATTTGTAAAATGCAAAAAAAAAGATCAACTACAATTAATGTATGTTATTTGCCAAAGAAGTTTTATAATTATTACTTTTTACTTAATCGAAAGCTGATAACTACATAATTACAGTAATTTAAAAATTCATCTCCTTAATCTTTGAATTTGTACAAGCAGCTTCTTGATAATTGGCATCCAAGCTAATCAATTTGAAAAGGCTTATTTATTTTTATTTGTCAATGTTTTAAAATTTACTTTTTTAATCACTCAGGTGCTACAAAGTTGAACAATAAGAGCTGTGACATAGCGATAAACTGGAGCGGCGGCCTACATCATGCCAAAAAGTTTGAAGCTTCAGGATTTTGTTACATCAATGACATTGTCATTGCTATTTTAGAGCTGCTTAAGTATCACGCGCGTGTCCTATATATTGATATCGATGTACACCACGGCGATGGTGTTCAAGAGGCATTTTATCTAACCGATCGAGTTATGACAGTGTCATTCCATAAATATGGCAATTACTTTTTCCCAGGAACGGGAGACATGTACGAAATTGGTGCAGAGAGTGGTAGATATTACTCGGTGAATGTGCCTTTGAAGGAAGGTATCGACGACGCTTCGTATGTACAAGTTTTCAAGCCTTGCATATCTCACGTTATGGAGTTCTTTCAACCTACTGCGATAGTATTGCAGTGTGGAGCAGACTCCCTAGCTAATGATAGGCTAGGTTGTTTCAGTCTCAGCACAAAAGGACACGGAGAATGCGTTAGATTTGTTAGAGATCTTAATGTACCACTTTTGACAGTAGGCGGCGGTGGTTATACTCTGAGAAATGTAGCAAGATGTTGGACTTACGAGACTTCTCTTCTTCTTGATGAACAGATAAGCAATGAATTACCCCTAACCGAATACATAGAGTATTTCGGACCGGACTTCACACTCCATCCAGAGGTGGTTACAAGGCAGGATAATGCTAATAGTAAGCAATATCTGGAGGCTATTACCAGACATGTTTACGATAACCTAAAAATGATACAACACTCGCCTAGTGTGCAAATGCAGGATGTCCCGTGCGATGCTCTGCCAGCGGAGGAAGATAGACAACCCGAGCCTGATCCTGACTCTAGGCAGAATCCTCAGGACATGGATAAGATTGTTGAGCCTGCCAATGAGTATTATTCGGGTGATAAGGATCAAGATAAAATGGACACAGCCGATACATAATCTTATGAGGCTTTTTGTGAACTGTGTTGTGAAAATGATAATTACTTTTCAAAGGATGAAAGAGAAAAACAAAAATCGATCAGCGTTTTGTTCTAAATTATTGTCATGTTTTTTTATTCAAAATTCTCTTTAGACTTATTTACTTTTGTAATGGAATCATCTCAAGTTTAGTATAACAAGAGTTGATTATGAGCTAATTGGATAAAATACTTTATCTCTTTTAAATTGTGAGAAGTATTTTACACTTAAAAAAAATTTTATCATTTAACTAAATTCTGATAAAAGACAAAGAAACAATTAAAAAGGCTTATGATATCAAATCTGAAATAAAAATTTACTTCAGCCAAATACATATTTTCCATTATATCGATTCTTTTATTATTAAAATTTTATTTTAGTAGTTTTTCTTGTATTAAAATCAATTTATTTGTCGATATTTTTTATCAAATTAATTTTTAAGATTTGTTTTTATCCAAAAGTACATGTAGTTATACATTAAAATTGATATTCTGTAACTAATATTGACAAGATATCGTACATGTATATATATATATATATATATGAGTATTAATGTCTTACTTAATTTTTAATGTTTTGTCAAATACAATTCGAATTCATTTTCTGATTTTGCATTAACGTTTAAAATTCATTTATTGCAGTTGAATAAATTCAATTGATTAAATCTATCCATTAAATAATAATTATTTTTTTCATTTATGTTTTTTAGGAGGATCTCCCATAAATTCTTGAAAATCATTGAAAATTGAAAAACAGAGTTTAAAATCTATTTTTTGCAAAAATAATAATTTTAAACGCGTAAATACATCGTAGATAATATCGTAGATTAGTTTAAAAAATCAATTGATATTAAGCTTGAGACAGTTTCCATTAAATTTCTGCGTATAAGAAAATTTAAATAGTGTATAATTTTAATTAGTTAATATAAAAGTTTTTAACCATCGAATGCATGTTTTATAGACAAAATTACTTTTAATTGATTTCTTTAACTCGCAATTGTATTTATTGAAAAAATTCAAGACAATTATTTTGTATAGATTTGGCAACACAATGATTTTGAGTGTGCAGGGACAGGAGGATGAGATCATTTTTTAATCTTTGTACGGACTACATATTGAATGTTCAAGTAAGTAAAACTTGATAAATTGTAAATAAGAATAGGATTGGAGAGATATTTGTAAGTGGTGAAATAAATATTTGTACACATTATATTACAATTTCAATTCATTGTCAAAGTCACAATTCCCAATAGATCTTTGTAGAATATTTATACGAAAATACAGATATATGCATGCGCATTTTTAGCGTACTCTCGCCTTCTTAATACCAATAAGACCAATAGAGAAATGTACTTTAAATTGTCACAAATAGTAAAAACTCTTATATCGATCATTGATAAAAAGATTTGAGACATTATAAAATTTTCTTGTTCAAAAATTCGCGTATTACATTCTGTAATGAACGGACACGTATAAACAAGCAGCGCCTTAAAATTTAAAAAAAATTAATTTTTTACCAAAGTACAAAACTGTAATAATTAAGTTGTCTAGATTAGCCAATGAATTAAAATACACGATATCATAAAACAATTAGCTTACAAATTGCAACATTTCTTAAATTAAGTATTTAAAAATTGTCGAAATTTTTAAAAATATTCTTTTATTAAGAAATTAGAAAAAATGAAAAATTACTTTTTCCAAAATCTTAAGGCGACAGTCTATTAGTAAAGAAGAAAACATATTTTAATGTATTATTTATAAAGCCAAAAGAAAAACAAAATACATTACGACACTTCATTGCCGTACAATCAGTCTGAGGTATATTATTTATAATGCATAAAAATTTTCATTTCATTTATTTTGAATAGCATGATGGACTTTTTTTATTTCTACGCCACCAGGGCGAAACGATTATCAAGAATAAGAGATGCTAAACGCACGTACAGTAAGTGAGAAAAATTAATCAATGCGAATAATAATCGTAAACGCGTGTGTATCTCTGTTTCTGGGACTATCATTGCTATATCACAGAGAATTTAGCTTAAGCCGTTACTTTTTCCATAATGGAACATTCTGCACGATCGATACAATAAATTAGGATTTCTTACAATTACATGCACTTCCAACACATTCTTTCACTTTCCCTCTGTACACGCATTCTCCTTTTTCTCCTGTACAAATATAGCATGTGTCTGTAGCTTAATGAAGAAATAATAACATTTCAAGAGACAAAATATTAATAATACAAGAAAATACTTATGGTATGTTGAGAAACATGCAACACAACTTACGACTCACCATCATATCAATTCATCGTTTAACGGTTAATTCTAGCTTCGACAATCATATAAAAAAAAAAAAAAAAAAAAAAAAAAAAAAAAAAAAAAAAAAAGAATGAAAGAAAGAAAGAAAACAGCGTTTTATATGTAATATATTGTAACGGAACAGCGGTCCTTTACATACGACGGCCCTGGCATGGAATTTATCATTCGCAGATTATATATTTTTCAGACACTCAATCAACCACGTCAACGAAACATTATTATCGAGTCTCCACGGACACCCACCAACCCCCCCCCTCCCGACCCCTAAATAAATTCTCAAAATCTCTCCTTTGAATTTTTTTTAAATAATGAATTTACAAAAATGTAAAGTCAAGGATAGAAGACTGCTGCTGTTACTCTATTCCTTGTCGTTGTAGGACTTTTTGTCAAAGCTGGCTCGTACCTGATCAGATATTCATATACTCCCGATGAAAAATCTTGATTGACAGCCCCTTAACAACTATTTTACTCGTTAAGCAGTACCCGCTGCAGCTGGGGACTTGCAACATGCGTCATCATTACCTTCATAATAATGATAATCGAGTTATCCGTCGTTGCATATGGCTCGGTTAAATAGTTGCACGTCGTTATACGATGCCTCGTAAACTATGCTTAATCTCTTAACTACATTTATATAATCGGTCAAACATTTTACAGTTAATTCTTTTATCTTCACAACATTTATATATATATAAAAACATATATTGTATGAATATTTTTCAGTCTCATAATGTTAATAGAAGGAATCATACGTCGTCACGCCCTGAATTCACATTCGCATTTTCACGAGCGCCTAATGAAGTTTATCTGACAATGCAAAATATTATAAAAAATAAAGGGCTTCCAAGATTTTTCCGTCGGACGAAGATATACATACACATACACATACACATATGCATATACATATACATACACGTGCGCGTATACATATACATATACGTATACGTATATATTTATATAAATATATTTTTTTTTTTAATTTATTATTTATTTATTAAAGCGAGTCCTGCGTCAACTTTACTTAACGGAAACGATCGTTACGATTGCTACTTTCTTTTTCAAGGACAAGGTCGAGGAAGCTGCTCTGTGCTTTTTACACAGGGTTAAGATTATTTCCCCCTGGTAAAGTAGTTGACTAGATGACGTTGCTTTTCCTCATTGTCACGTTCGTCAGATAATAAAAGAAAGGGAAGTAAAGTAACGATGATATAACAGTATCAAGCTACGTAAACAAAATTAATTTTCACTTCTCCATTTTGTGGGCTCAGGTCAGGTTTCAAAATGCTTGTAGATACTAGTGACGTATGTCATGACCTGCTGCCAATCAGGTCGCTCGAGTTGACACATATCGCCAATATTCTGTGAACGAAAAATTAGTTTAGCGACTGATCGACATATTCACTTACAAGCGAATACAACACTTTTAGTCTTAAATACTAATTATTATGGCTATCGTTATTTTGCGCTTTAATGATCAAAGGTGAACTTGACTATCCCATATCTATGAGAATAGTTCGTTTTAATGTTATATTATCGTTGTTAAGGAAAGCGGACTTGAGCTAATTTATTGCTGGATCCGAAAATATTGTGAAAAAAGTGAGTGATCACACTCACACACACACACACACACACACACACACACACACAAAACACACAAACGCTATCTACATAATTACAAAGCCCGATTCCCGATAGGAAGCTGAAATTCGTCCAAGAAATATTCATCGTTTTGTCGGGTTTACTCACAGCCGAAGCACGAAGGTGCTTAGCAGGCAATTTAAAAAGTAATCTCAAGCTACTATCGGCTTTAAGCTACTTGTAATTAAAGACTTTGTGCATGTACCAAGGTCGTCGGTATTCCAACGCTTTCAGCAGCGGAGAAGGCCAGCGAGAAGTTTCTCTTCTTTTCCGTGGGCGTGAGGGAGTCGTAAGGTATTTTGTCGGGAAGGTAGGTGTGGAGTATGGCGCATAGGGCAAGCCCGTCGTTCCACGAGCTGCTGAAGTTGGTGATGTCGATGTTCCGGTAGCCGACGGTCTTGTTCTGACACCACTTGAGGAGCGCATTGCGCCGCGATCCTCCGTTCTTCACGAGGCCGCAGAGCGGATCCTTGCGCTCCGAGAGATCCGTCACGCTGTTGCGCCTTACGAAGTCCATTGCCTTTGCGTTGAGGGCCGCCGTGTCCAGGAGCTGACCCGACGTCAGAACGCCAGGCACTGCGTTTTTCGTCTCTGTATAGTAAGCAATAACGTATAATCGTTAATTTATTCATAAAACCCTTGGGAATGAGTTGCAATGACATGGTGAGATGGTGCGAAGGTAATCGCGCGCGAGTAACTACGTCGTTTTATTCGCTCAATCACGCATTGAAAAGCAGCAACGGTCAGTAAGGCAATTGTGTGTACTGCGCATTGAAATAATATGTATAATAAACATTTATAAAGTAGTACCCTTAAGCTGGTCAAGGAAAAGCTTGATTATGTATCTTGTTGCACAATCACTTATTACTTATTTACAGTTACGGTTGAAGAAACTTTAGGAAGTAAATTTTAATGAAAAGATATTTTTATGAAATATTACAGAATATTGAAAGTTAAGACGAGAAATAAGAGACACTAAGGGTTTACAATTTCGTTAGGAGTATGCTAAAACATAGTAAAAGTTATGTCGATCGTCCTGATTTATTTACAATTAAAGAAGAATGACTTATTCGTTGTAAGTCTTACATTAGGTAAATAGCAATTATATCTGTTAAATCATTGAAGATTTGAAATACAAGAAAAATATTTCGGAGCTGTATTTCGATAAAAAATATTATTACAAGATTCTTACCTGAAAATGTTTTCTTGGCGTTACTCGATTGGGTCTTGTTGTTATTATTTGTAGAATTTGTTGTACATATAAGATTATTTATTTGTTGATCTCTGAGGGGAGCCTTCAAAGATATTACATCATTGGTGCCAACTGAATTGAGGGACGATGTTGAACTACTACGACTTCCGGGACCTAAAGTAATAAGAAGAATAACAACAACTACGACAACAACAACAACAATAATAATAATTATTATTATTATTATTACACAGACGAGGATTTATTAAGCATTGATGTGATATAACTCGTGAAAAGATTCATTTTTAAAAAAACTTTACTTTCAATTCAGACGTCAAGTTTTATATATATTTATCAAGCTTTTATTTCATTGTAATTTGAATGAAAAATAAAACTAACCAGCTTTTGCCTGTTTTGTAGCATTTTCAATGCTCTCGATGAGACACTTAACCGAAAGTCTTGAATCTTGTCTGGTAATATTTGCTTTACGTCGAGCTGCCATTTCGTTCTGTACACTTGTTATAACGGACTGTTGCGTTTCAGTTGGAGTTGTCGCTATCCTCGTCGTTGGCGGTATGCTTTTCTGGGTATCTGGAAAATGAGATATTTACATTAAATACAGTTGAATTTTTAATTCCATTTGTTCATAAAAAAAAAAAAAAAAAAAAATAATTGTATGTTTTAAAAAAAAAAAAAAAAAAAAAAAAAAAAAAAAAAAAAAAAAAAAAAAAAAAAAAAAAAAAAAAAAAGAAAGAAATGCGAAGCAAAAAGCAAAAATATTTTGTATTAATTTAAAGACAAAAACAAAATGACCTCAAAAATCTTTATAAAACATGATTAATGGTCAAGTACAAATAAAGCCGTTTTTGGTTATATTCTTATAAAATTGTTGTTACTTTCGTGTAATTTAATATATAATTACGAAGGATCAATAGAAACGATGAAATCATAAAGCAAACGTGGGCGTTAGAAAAATTCATTTTGTCATATTACTGAGATTCGAGATATTTCTTTATTAACATTTATCTTAATTATAATAATTATCCCATTACTTTAAAACTTAAAAATGTATTAATCCTTCCGAAATTATTATTGTTATTATTATTTTTTTTTACAATCCAATATGTTACAATTTAATTTCCATCCACAGGGTATTTAAAAATTCTAATTCAATTAAATACCCATACGATGCCTTATAAAAATAATATAAAATGTACTTTCAAAAGGTTTGTCACAAATTTTATAAACAATTCGCAACGATAGACTGAAATGAGTATTAAACCGGAAGATATTATGTAACCAATTAGCCCCCAACTGCGAATGACAGCACATTGACATACTAAATCAAAACACATAAAGCAATATCAACAAATTTGCGAAATATCTCCCTTATTTTATACATAAGAATAAGCGACGTAAGTTGATTCGCAGCATGGAGGGTCGATAGGGATAATTCATTGTAAGATCTCACACTGATTATTTAGATTAATAATGAAACTCTAAAGATATAACAGCAGGGCTCGCACACACAAGTTACGTAGATATATCAGACCACTTTGGTATGCCACTTCACTAATGGTCTAATAACAACAAAAAAAAAAAAACATGAAAAAAAAAAATGTAATAAAAAAAAAAGAAGAAGAAAAAAAAAATATATATATAATAATAATAATAATAATAATAACACACAAAAAGCCCAATTTTCAGGATCTTTGTAGCGCGAACACTCATGGGTTACGTATTCCACTTTGATTTTCCACGCTAATTTTATGCATTTTTGTCTACTTTGGATTCTTTTAGCGACTTACTACCGATCAAACGTCGTGGCAATGGTTTGGGTTTTGTACTGACGACATCCTCGAAATTCCCGGCATAACGTCGACGTGCAGTCGACATCTTATGATCGTTTTGCCTCGAGAAGGTATTTTCATCTTTGAGCCTCAACGACGGCAAATCCTCGAATTTTTGACGTATCGTTGAAACCAATTTTTGCGCTGAAGGAAATCTGGACGATGCATTCGGGGCGAGTTCCAAAGAATTCCGCGAGAATAACTGCCTACTGATTTTTTTAAAATGATTTTGATTTTCGATTTTTATTTAAAAATATTTATGCTTCTTAATAATTTGGCAATTTGGTATATTTATATTGTTATGCAATTTTTACAATAAACTACCACAAAATTTAATACAAATTGCTTGAAGAAATATTGTATGAAAAATATTATGCGAGATATGGCAGATAAAATTTAAGTATAATTTTGTATTCGTATTTTATAATGTTCGAAATGTAAAATTGCATGCAAACGTTTCTAAAAATGGAAAATCATTATCTTCAATTTCATATTCGAGGTTCTTTTTAGATACGTAGACAATATTTTTTCAAGACTCGATAAAACAGCATAAATATTTTGAAATAAAATTAAAGAAAATCATTAATAAGAATCTTTTAATACCTCTTTAACGATAAATTTGGAGGTTGTATTTCATGTATGGAATTTCTGAGAAAATTTGATCTTGACAACTGCAAAGATGCCGTTAAGGGTCTTTTAATTTTATCTAAAGTTATTTCTTTCGTAAGTAAATCGTTTGTTAAAGGTTTCCTTAATTCAACCTCATTATACGCATCATTAGGTACTTTATTTTTTATAAGTATTTCCTTTGTAATACAGTCACTTAACAGAGGCTTTCGTAATTGCACTAAATTTAATTCTTTATCTTCGATAATTAAATCTTTTGAATTGGGCTTTGGTGGAGGCATTTGGATACAGGTTTTTGACTCTACTTTTGGTACAAAACCATCTACGTTATTAGATTGCTTTGTAGATGAAGTAGTCGTCAAATTGTTATTGGCTAATGAGGGACATTCGATAATATCCGTTGTATGTTTGAACTTTTCATCCAAACTTTTACGCAGAGCTTTTGTTATTTCAGGATCCACTTTGAAGCTTAGATCATTCATTGAATTTTTGTAGCTTGTAAGAACATAATTATTTGGCACGAAAAATCGGCTATTGGATACGTTGATGCTGTAAACGTTACTGCTAGCATCCTGAATGCCCGTAATCTTCTCTAATAAACTATTTGATGGATTTGTAATTGTAGCACTAGAGCTGTCTAGGAGGTTAGATGCTACTAATTTACACGTATTTTGACAGGTAGGATTGTTTGATTCATGAGTTTCGTCCGTATGAAGCTTGGGAGTCAAGTCAATGATCTTTGGTATAAACTTTTCTTTGGTTGGATGGGTAGTTGAGTGTGCCAGTTTACGCACAGCTTCACTATCAGCATAGTCATTCGAATCATGACTGGTTATATTAATTGAATTATGCACATTATGCCCATTATGAAGCTTAAGAGTCGAGTCAACAATATTTGGTGCATATTTTTCTCCCGAAGAATTAAGAGATACTTTTACATATTCTTTTTCGACGGCATTGTTGAGAGGCAAATTATGCGTATGCTTGTCTTCATCAGCGGTGAGTTTTAGCTGAATATCTTTGGAAATATTTGGTGAATTAAAATCTACAGTGTCACTCAAATCAAACCAGACACTGTTTCCTTGTTCTGTTTTAATTTGATTTTTCAAAATACCCTTTGTCCTCGGTATATGATTTTTTAAAATACTGTTTGTCCTTGATAGGTCACATTTCACTATGATTTTCTTTGATTCAAAACGTTTCCTAATAATCGTACGTCCACGCTTTAAAATTGTGCTCCTTGGCTTTTGAACGTCGCTGCCTGATGTGCAATTAAAATTAAAATAGTGAAAAAAATTGTTTGCCATGCGACATGATAATCAATTTTAATAACATAGAAATTATTAATTTGCAGCATAAGATTACTCACCAGAATATCGAAGGATTACTTTATGAATAACACAAGATTCTCATTTTAATAATGAAAATATAATTAATTATAAATTATAAATTATAAATGGAAAATGAAAGTTGATCGTTTTTGTCAAACATTTTGACATCAATTTGACATCAATTTTGTCTATAAATCATAACGCAATTATTGAAATAAAATTTACTTCATTAAAATGATCGACCATTTTGGTATTTTCGCAAGACTTCAATATATCAATATTTCCAAATTATACATCATCACAATAGTATATTCTTACTATCACGGCATTTTCATAAAACTCACTTAAATAATTTTAAAATGCACATAAATGAAATAAAATAAAATCCGTTAAGCTGGTGCGCTACGTGTATTAGTGAGATTAGCAAACGTTTGAGCGGAATTGAATTTTATTTACAAGATGCGCATTATTATTAATCATTAAACTTTATATTTATAGTAGAGGTAGAAGTTTCTTGAAATAAGCATTTCCTATTATCCCACTGATCGTTATGATAAAATAGAGATCAAAAGACCTCAAGTAATAATGAGATCCATAAACATTATAAAATGTGCGAAAATATAAAAAAAATAATCGTTTGCATCATACTCGTCTCGCCTGACTAACTATTCGTGTAGTCAGCCAAAGTACTCTCGGTAGTTTTAATCTTGTGGTTACTCGATTAATGACTGCGACATAACAAAACATAGAACCGGATGTAAGAGGGCGACGAGCTCCTCTCGGCTCGAGCATAAAGTAATCCCCCAGTGATATTCCACGAGGGGCGCAGACGGCAATAGGCCTACGGTGTGATCGGGAGCAATGGTAGACTCACTGGTATTGCTGAGCTTATCCAGCTGCGCCTCGAGTGCCCTGAGCTTGTCGCGTTGGGCCTTGTTCTCCATTACGACCCTCTCGAGCTCGCTCTGAGCTTCGGTTTTGAAGTCGTTGGCCACGCGTACCGTCATCAGGAGATCCGTCTGGAATTGCTGCCACTCGACCGCTTCCTCTTGCCTGAGCTTCCGCTCTTCGGCGAGTGCACACTCCACCTCACACTGGCGACCTTGGGCCTCGCGCTCCCGTCGCTGCAACTCGCTCAGTACCGCCTTCATCTCGCGCTTGTCCTCGAGGTGGCGCTGACACTGGGACTGGAGCTCCGCGAGGGAGTCTCGCACCAACTGTAATTCCGCGTTCATCGTTGCGCGTTCCTCCTTCAGCTGGACCAGACGGTATTCCAGGTCATCGATCGCCGATTTGGCGTTATTGCGTGCGACCTACACCAGAGAACGAGACCAATGTTAATTGCATAGGGAGAAATAAAAATATTTAAGGGAGAATGAGGCTTTTGTCAGTTAGTGAGAGTATTGAAAGTAGGCGATAAGCGAATGCTGGATGCATCGCGGAAGATGCAAGTGATTTTAGCTATCGTAAAAGAAAATGAAATCAACGATGAAAAAATATATTTTTTAAATATAGAATAGAGCTCGACAAATCCTGTAATAATTGTCAAAACTTGTGTTTACTTACATATAAATGCACATAAAAAACAAATGAATAAATCTTGTAAAAATATACCCTTACCCAATGCATTATAAGCGCAAAACTTTCTCTTTCTCTTTCTCTCTCTCTCTCTCTCTCTCTCTCTCTCTCTCTCTCTCTCTCTTTCTCGGTAAGCGAGTAAACACTAAGTATAATTTATTAGAAGAAACAAAAACTAATCATTGGACCGAGTTTAAGACATTGTACATAATACGTTAAACAAAATTTTAAATATCAGAAAATTAAATACAAACATTAAAAATAGCTAGGAATAATTACGGAAAATAAGTGATTTTTAAAACAGAAATGTTCGTTTAATTAAATATTTCTTTATATGCCATTTTTCATGTGACTGATAACGGATACGTATTTGTTTATAAAATAATGCAATTTTGCAAAAGTGACTTTTCAATCGTTATATTATTGTAATCTCATAATTATCTACAAATTAATTTTATTCTTCATATCACAATATTTATGCTAATTTTGTCGCAATATTTACAGTTAAATGATAGAAATTTGCTTATTTAATACAAATAGAGTTGTCAAAAGTTATTAGACTGATTTTTTTTTTTTTTTTTTTGTATTAGCACATTTCGATTGTACGACATTGAAAGGTTTTACATAAAGTATAAACAAACATTTAAAAAATTATAAACAAAATTTAATCATTTACATATTCAATAGCTTTCAATTTTGTATTATCACAAGCAATTTAATCGATTATTTTGAAAGCAATCATCAAGAATAAATAAAACATGATTAAACATTACTTATCTTCAATATTAGTAATCAATATAAAATTCGACGCGGACAAAAAAACATTTCAATTTGTTGTCAATAATATAAAACTTCTAAGACAATCATAACAATAATTGTCTATTTATTTTAAAGTGATAATGTTAAATAAATCGACTTTAGTTTCGTTTTTTCGCTAACCAATAGTTGGCTTATAATGGCCGCGAAAGTTTTTCAAGTAATTTAACGAAATCAGCATTTGGTTTTTTTGATGCGCAAAGCAATTAACGATTTCGAGGAAAACAACTACCAATTTAGTCGTGGTATTAAGTATGTATTATATATAATGCTACGTCGATTAAAATTATAACGATAAGTCAAATATTTATTATACGAAGAGTTATATTTCGACAATTTTCACAACTTGTGAATTTCCATATGAACAATTTCATTATTCATTAAATCCTAATTTTAATCCTATAAAATGAACCTCAATTCGAGCAATTAAAAGAGGAATAGTTATTGATTATATTTATTTATAAAGTACATTTATTTAATAGCCACATTAAATGCTCACTGCCCATGCAGGTACTTATGTATCAAGTTAAAATCACAAAATTAAATTCAATGCAAACGATTCGTTTATCATGGGCAATGATCCGAAGTTTCTATAAATAACAAAAGAGGTCGTAAATATTTTTATGAAAAGAAATCATTAAGTATTATACATTTAGCGTAGGTGCCTTCGGGGATTGTCGAGTATTCTTAATATTTACGATCAAATTTACGAATATAAATTGTAAAATAATGGTATTTGTTGTTTGAAATTAATCGTAAATTTGGTCGGTATGAAAAATCATTTAAGAAGAAAATGAAAAAAGAAACACATCGAGATTGTATCTGCCAAATAAAGTAATCAATAATAAATAGCCGAGATGGACATTAAACTTGGAATATTTAATTGTAAGAATATATAATTTGGGCCCAATTTAAAACCTTAATTCACGGTATATATAAAATAATTCAACCCTTAAGATTGTTTATTTATTTTTATTTTTATTATTATTATTTTTTTTTTCTTAAACGACTTGTTGAAACGATCGAATTGAAGTTACGCGATTAATAAACGTGTTTTAATGCTCAGCCACGCAGCAAAATACTCCCATTTTCACGAGGAAAAACGCACAAACCTTAAATTCCTCCTGGAGCTGGATGTACTGATTCCTGAGCCGATCGTGCTCGCAATGCGACCTCGCTAATTGCTCTTGGAGGGCGGCCGCCTGGGTCTCGAGAGTGTCTTTCTCGCGTCTTGCCGCATCCAGCATCTCGTCGGCCTCGCTCTTATTCTCCAGCTGCCTCGACTGCTCGAGTTCCTCGATTTTCGCGCGGGCGTTGTCGAGGAGGGTCGCGAGCCTGCTTATTTCGATGCTGCGATTGGCGCCCTCCTGCTTGGACTCGGTAAGTTCGAGGTCAAGGAGCTTACGTTCGACGCTCGTCGCGTCGATGGTCGACTCAAGCACCTGGACGCGCTTCGTCAGCCGCTCGATCTCCGTCGTGCTCGCGTTAGCGCTCGCCCGAAGCGAATTCAGCTCCGTGCTCAGCTCCTCTTGCTTCTGTAGTAGACTCTCGCGCTCCTCTTGAGCACTCTATAAACGTTAAATCAAGGAGATAATGAGCAAGTGTGACGTTATACTGGACAACGTAGGAGATGGAATTTCGGAGGTTCATCGACTACGGGTATTTTTCAATTAAAATTTGCACTTGCATTAGATGATCGATTGAAAGATAGGGACTTGCGAGACTCTAGTAAATTCATTTGCTGATCCAGCTATTTAATAATAGAATTATAATCTTTAAATCCCTTAGCGAAGCTTTGAAACATATTTTCACTAAATACTTTTAACTCCTTGATACATAATAAAACGATACGTTTAATATAAAATATCCATACGTAGAATATATATAAAGAGTGGATTAGAGCAAACGATGTATTTAAGTTGTATATTTACTTGTTAATTGCTCGAGAGTAATGCAGAATATTACTAATATCATTTCCACTGCTATTTAATGTGTATGATCAGAAGACGAGTTATCGATGCATTTTATACAAAATTTATCTTTAATAATGAAATATATATGTTTTTGTATTTAATTAGCATTTTGAAAAACAAAATCAAGCCAATGCGAATGATACGTTTTCAATCATTTTGTCCATAAGAGGTTACATCAAGAATTAGAGAGATTATAATTAATACAATTACATACAATACATTGATTTTCATATAAGATGATTGAATCAATCAATAATGAATATTTTATATTATTCATTATTTTTATATTGCAAATTTTGCTATAGTTTTTATTAAAATTTTACAATATGCGATATTATACTTGTAAAGTTCTCTGTATATAAATAGTTAAAGAAAAATATATATATATATATATAATATAAAAATTGATAAGCATATGTTTTAATAATGAAATGTTTCAACAATTCTTCTCTTATAATAAAAGAGATAAACAGTTGAAACATGAATAAGTAGGCTTGATAAAACTACACATAATTTTATAAGAATTTTTCAATTATATCAATAAATACAGGGATTGTGACTAACAACACAAACAAGCTTATCCTATTTTAATAAATACATCTATATTGTATTATGATAATTCAAAAATTAACTAACAATCTTTAAACGTTGAAATATTTTACTAGTACTTATAAATTACAAAGCTTTTTTAATATGAATTAAGTATATAAATTTGTAAAAGTATTGTTAAATACCTTTAATAAATCTACAAGTTTCTGTTCTCTTTCCGTATTATAGCCTTTTGATGACTCTTGAGGCTGCTCATCTCTTAAAAGTAGCCCCTGTAATGTATCAACTTTTGATCTAGAATCTTCTAATTTTTCTGTTTGCCTGCAAAGAGATTCTAGCAGTACACCTTTCTCTTCTGCAAGCCTTTCATTATCTGCTTGAAGTTCTATTAACTGAACCTATATACAACAACAACAACAACAAAAATAATAATAAGAAAGTAGAAAAAAAAAAAACCAAAAAGAAGAATTTTATCTGTATTTATGAAATTACGTGAAAATTTTCATTAACTTTCTATTAAAAAATTAAGCATTTTATAAATATTTAATTTGCCAGCTCGACAAAAACATAAGAGTACTAAAAAGAAAATATAAGTCATATAATATGCTAGCTGAAAAATATCGTATATAATTACCTGTAGATCGCTAAGTTCTTGTAAGGTGGCCTGAAGTTCCTCATTAGTTGAGTAATGTGTTTCCTCCATTTGTAAGATTCTGTCCTGTAGACAGGCAACGGATACTTCTGAACTAGAAGATCGTTTATCCCACTCAGGTGTAGTGCTCCTGGCATTTTCTTGTGTCATGTTACCAGATTCAGCACAGCTATCTTCTTGCAATACTGCAATAGAAGCTGGTGCCGAATTGTGCAGTCGTGATGCATCTAGAAGCTGTTGCTTTTCTGAATCCGAGAGTGGTGAATGAACGACATCACGTAGTCTACTACGCAGAGCTTCATTCTCTTTGGCAAGTCGCTCCAGTTCTAAGCTATGCTGTTCCTACACCCAAAGAAAAATAATACATTTCAATACACAATTTGATTCAATACTACTTTGATAGTCAAATTTGTCTTTTAACATTGTACGAGTCAAATAAAAAGAATACCTATTATATAAAAAAAACAAAAAAAAAATAATAATAATAATAATAATAATGTAAAAACAAAACAAACAAATAATCTATCTATATAATTAAAAGCATTAATAAAATGATACTATGTTTTTTTAAAAATATTATAGACAGCTTACAAACATATTTTAAAATAAAACCGAGGTATTAAGAGAAATTGATAAAATTTATTTATCAACTATTTTAAAGCAACTAGATAATCCATAGTGTTATTAAAATTATTTGTATATCCTTGGTTGCAAATAATGCTTAAACAACAAAGTCAATAATATACATTGCATACTGTAACTTAATTTTAATAAACAAAATTCAATGGTAATAAGCATCCATAGAAATGTTTTAAAAACTTTAAGGAGGTTAATTTTATGCTTTTAAGATATTTTAATGCTCGTAATTATAATGGTAAGCAGACAGGTTGTCGAAATTTTTGAAACTCGTAATTATAAAAATTTATGATCGACCCACACAGCGTATGGCGTTAAATTTATATTGTTCGAAATTTTGTTGGTGCGGCCGGGGCGGGTGGGGTGGGGTGAGGTGAGGTTGGGCGGCATGAGGACGGGAGGGGAGAAAAGAAAGAAAGAAGAGAAAAAAAAAACATTTACTTGTTGCGCTAAAGACCGAAGTAATTTCAAGAAAGGCGCTTGAACGAGGAAATTCAACACTGAATAGACGTTTTACAACTCGTTTAATACGAGCAAAATACGATGCTTCAATTTCACACGCAACACCTACGCACGCACGAACATCAACGCAAAACTTGGCAACGAGCAGCGAACAACAAACTCTGCGCGATAAACACGCGTGCGTATATTATGTTTATGCTCGGGGAATTAAGAAGCTGGTGCACATGTGGTGTTTCCCAGTTTGAGAAAAAAATTGGTGTTGCCACTGCTGCTCTAGCCAATGGCACGCGGATTCCTTATATAATTAAGCTACAAGTATATCGAGGAGAGACACAGACCTCGGAATTATCCATGCAAATCAATATAGCCAACGGAGACTCAACGCTCTCGCTGCGAGTCGACCACTATACATTATACATATTACGTATAGAAGGGAAAAAAGCGGGTTTAGTTCAAGGCGCGCGCAAAAGACCGTCTTCAAGGTTATGTAACGCGCGACTCCCTTCTTCTGCATGTATATATTATATATGCGCGCATGCACGTACGTGCGTATGCCAGTTTTTATTATTTGTTTACTTTTTTAAGATTGTGCATACACCACGTTAGACAAAATTTGATATGAAATTTGTACCGTTGTAGGCAGCAGAGGTTGTTTAATCATATCGAGACGCTCCTAGCCTTTACACTGATCCCTTTTCCTACTTCTCTCTTTCCCACTCGCTCACTCACTCACTCACTCACTCTCTGCGTGTTTGTGTTGTACGCGTTGCTCATGTGTGCATTCACGAGTAAGAATATGTGTGTGCGTGCGCGCGTGCGTGCTATTCGGAGGGAATTTTATGCTGCACAGTGCTTCGATATATCGTTTTGCCTCTCTCTCTCTCTCTCACTACTACACTTCTCTTCTTTCATTCCTCGACAGTCTATCTTTCTTTTTATTTAGATTCTTTTTCTATGGTAGGGCTACGTGCGAGAGGGAAATTTCCTTTTATTTAATCCACTAGGGACACGCGTACACGAATTTTTGCTCTTTTTAAAGAAGCCGTTTTTTTCAAAAAATATTAGAATAGCTAGGATGTTATTAAGGAATGCTCGTTGGAATGGGAATTGGAAGTAAACGAGGATGGGAGAGGGTCGAGAGGGGAAAGGACGAAACCATTAAATGCTAATTAATGTTGATTTTGTTTTAATTGGTTTGAGATTGTATGGATAATAGCACTTTTCGATATTTTATAATAATAAATTTCCGTTTACCGCTGCAAAAGCTCTAGCATTAATACTGAAAACGCATGATCGTAATTAGGACATAATTATCAAAATTATATTATCCATTATGTAAAGTATTAAAAAATTTATCATTAATTATTATTATCTTGTCTGATATTATCAATGACATTGTCAATGTTCAGCTTTTGTCTTGTAACAATAAATAATAATTTATCTTGTACTACCCACCCTGCTTTTTACGTTCATAGCATTAAATAATCATGACTTAGAATGCGAATGTTTAAATAATCCCAAATTCCGTATGTTAACAATATTTATAATACGTAGTTTGAATAATTACGTTCTATTACGATCCTCGTGTCGTTATAATATATGCATAGCTTGACTCTAAATAAAAAAATCAATTTTTGAAAACGACAACTACCTATAAATGAAACATTTTTAGTTTAAACTTTTTCGATTACAATAAATTTATGTAAAAAGAGACGAGCTACGAAACGATAAAAACAAAAAAAAAAAAAAAAAAAAAGCCCACTATCTTAAAAACTTTATTTATTTCACCTAATTTATGGCCAATACTTGCTTACACGTATTTTATAATGAAAATTTTATGTGTAATAAAAGTTTATTTGACATAAATTACAAAAGTCAATTATGTCATCTCCACAAGGGATCTTTAGAAGAAACATTAGAAAATAACGAATCTCTATAAAAGAAATAACAAAAAATATGAAATCATACTCTTCTTGTATTATGCACGCGTACTTTTGAAGAAAAGAAAAAATTAATCAACTTATCTTAAAAGCATTATTAATCAGGAAAGAAAAGTTATAATGACTTTTGAACGAAAATAAAAATTGTTGTATTCGATAATACGATTTATTCCATCGCCAATCTAATTTTTAGCGAGTTTGTTTTCACCTAACTTGTAGGTCAATGATCTCTTATGCATCACTTCCAGGTATTTGTGTGAAACGCATTGGAAAGATAACCGAAGAGATAATAGTGCAAGGAGTTATTAATTTTTAATTATTTTATATTTAAATATCATGTATCAATAGATTATCTATATTTTTAATCTTAATGTGATTTTTTTTTTATTTTTCAATCTAATCAATCTTTCCGATTGGTTATTAAATAATTATATTACTCATTTAGCTCTACGATTCGTATATAAAAAGTATGATGGGTGTGCGCACGCACGTACGTACGCACGCACGCACGCACACACGCACGCACGCACGCACGAACGCCCAAACAAACAAATAAATTAAATGTTATTTATGTAATATTAAATAAAGTAAAATTACCCTTTCTTTTTTAATGTCTTGAATTTAGAAAATATTTTGCTTTATGTTTTGCTTAATTAATATATTAATTATTAAAATTTCATAAGATAATGGTAGAACATCTGCACTTGTAAGATTTTTATCAATTTTTATAAATTTGAAGGGATAAGAAGTAGAAAAATTTATTTTACGAATATTAAATTTGGACCAATCAATTGATTAAAAAAAAAAGTAAAAAAGAAACTATAGAACAAAATTCAAATATCTCACGCACATTTAGATTAAGTAATTACTTGGCCTATACTATATATATATATATATATATATATATATATATTGATTTACAAACACTAAATGATTAAACATAAATGAAATATATTATAAAAAAAAAATGTTAAAAATGTATGCAAAACTATGCAATTAAAGTTAATTATACCTTTTATTTGAGTGTGCGTTGTAAATGAAAGTTTTGATTAATTTAAAAAACGTACTTTCAATTAATCTTCTAATAATTACGTTTTAATTATTACGTTTTTTGTTTTCTATAATAAATTACAAAGCGAATGGATTAATGTTTAATCTTCGCTAAGGTTATTGTTGTTGGTAATTAAGTAAGATCGGTATCGTCTTATAATTCATTGCACATTTGCAATATGGTATTATTATATATTTTATTCAATTATTTCAATCGGGGCTATTTAATTGCAATTGAAATTCATTTGTAAAAAAGAAATTATAAATATTTTAAACATCGGTTGGTGCATCGTGTTTAGCTAAATTTCTCAATATTATCGTTCAACTGTAATTGCTCAAATCATAAATTACAATAAAAATAATATTATTAAACGCGCTAATATGTTAATAATTAGCTATTAACGCGAACAAATTATATTTATTTGTAAATATATTTGGCAGCAAAACTTAAGAACGGCAAATAGAAATGATAATTCAATTTTTTTGAAAAAAAAAAAAAAAAAAAAAAAAAGCAATCGAGCGACAGCCAGTCAATGGAATTTATCAATCTCTAGGTTACGTTATAAAAATAAAATATCGAATGAAAGTCCTATCAATCGGTAGCAGATATTTATATTAAAGAGACAACGTAAGCGCTTCTAACGACTCTTATCTAAACAAAAGATTATAATTAATTGCTCGATATTCACATTACAAATGATTATAATTGTTGCAGGCTTATCGGCTCATGACGATGCCTCGTCACTCTTTGCCGTAACTTTTCTCTTTCTACTTTTTGCATGCGATGCAACAATTTCCAATAACGTATCACACGATCGATTGTCCCTCGGCGCATTGCGCAATCATCTCGCACCGTGTGTCTCTTTATAATTAGTCGTGTACCGAGGCGTGCTCTGCGCTTCACCGTGCGAACATAACGAGAGGATAAAACGAAGTAAGACGAGAAGGACTAAATTCAGCAAAACGCAGCGTTTTCTCATGCGACAGCCATATATTAGATTACAGCAAAGTTTGTGCATTAGTGCGCGTGGATAATAATGGCCGAGTTGAATTATGTTCATTTGCATTTTTCCGCTGAATTATTAATTCAACAACGATTCAACATGTATTTCCCTCGCATTCTACGGCTGTTGCTTCTTTCATTTATTTTATTTGCTTCTTTGTTCATTATTGAAGGAAATTGAAATTGTTAATGTACGTTAAATTTTCAGGCAATTCATATTATTTTTTGTGTCTGCATCGTATTATTCATGACATTATGAAACACCCGATAGATTTACTGCTTTACCAAACGCATTTGTGTTTTTTTTTTTTTATAAATTAATTTGTAGATCAATTTTGTATTATATTATGCTAATGATAAGCCAAATAGAAAATGTCATTATTTTATATTCCAATAATGAACAGTGAAAAGATCGTTGCAAAACATATCAAACCAAGCAAATTTTTTTTGCCCAGTCTATATAATTTTAATTCTACATTTTTTATGATTTTTTATTTATTTTTTTTTTCTTCTTTTTTTTTCGTTAGTTACGGACTGCCTGAAAAGTTTTATAGGATTTTTAAAGCGGGTATACAATGCTATTAAAATTACTTCCGTATTAAAATAAAAGTTAAAATTTTTTTATTATAACACGACGAGCGCTTGTGTTATGCAGATATTTTCGTAAAATAATAATCGATCGTTCCTATTAATACAGCAGCAGCAGCAGCAGCAGCAGCAGCAGTAGCAGCAGCAGC